AAATTATAAAAATAATAAAGAAGTTATATTTTGCTTTACTTTTACGTGTATAAAAATTTAAAGGGCTTGATACAATAATTATCAATAAAAACTGTTTGTTACTATAAATGAATGCACTGGACTTCAAGGAATTTTCATCAGAAGCAAAAATATACTTTTCTAAATCAAATTTTCACNAGCAAAAATATACTTTTCTAAATCAAATTTTCGCGTTGTTTTCAAATCTGCAATTAGACTTTATCTATCAGTTCTAATTTTTTATATTATTACTAATTACATATAAAATAATAATTAAAAGAAAAAAATTGAATTGTTTTCAAATTATTACTGATTTGATTTTTAATATGTTAAAAATAACAGTCCAAATTTTTATTTTTAACCTATTTTTTTGGTTCTTTAAAGTTGATGAAAAATTTTTGATAAAGATTTATGAAAGTTTATAGTAAAATAAATTGAATATATTACCATAACTTTTAGCTCAATTACAAGTTTAAAATTGACATCTAGGCCAGTCAACAAAGGAAAAATTGCGGAAAATATTTCCAAACAAATATTGTTTTTTTAAAAGTTGAATTAAAATATGTATAATGACATACTAATAGTCCTCAAGATTGGAATTGAGCTTTTTTTTACAGCCTCGCAAAAGTTCAAAAATATGAGCTTTTTTAATTTTCTCAAAAAATATTTAACTTACAAAAAAAAGTTTCGTACAAAAGTTGTTTAAAAGACAATTATAAACAAAAAAAGTATCTTATATTTTTTCATTTAAACAAATATTTTTCGAGTTACATTACATTTAATATGAGTACTAAAATTTATATTCCATTTTTTTCATTTTACGGTTACTTTTTATCAATCATGTTATACATTAGACACAATGTTATAAATGCATACGTGTGTATGTGTGAGTTTATTTATTTATTGTATCATTAAAGTATAGTATATATTAATATACAAGCGATAGAGTAGGTAATTGATTTGACGCTATATTATTTAAACCCAACTAAACGCTAAATTGTACATTCCGAAACAACAATCATATTATGTCAATTGCCACCGGAATTTCTGGTAATATTTTTCTTTTTCTTTGCCTTAATCCCAAGTACTCGGGGTCAGCCACCCTTATCCTGAGCTTCCACTTGACACGATCTCCCACATCTTCTACGCTCACATCAGCTGTCCTCAAATCGCATTCAATAGCATCCCTCCATCTCTTTTTTGGTCTTCCTCTATCTCTTCTTCCTTCAACATTCATTTCTATAACTGTTCTTACAGCTTTCGATTCTTCTTTCCTCATACCATGACTAAACAATCTAAGTCTATTTTCTGTCATCTTATCCACGATTGACGCAACACCTATACTTCCTCTTATATGCTCGTTCCTTATCCTATCTTCTCTAGTCACTCCACTCATACAACTAAGCATTCTCATCTCTGCTACACTTATTCTCTGCTCTTCTTTCTTATCAACCGCCGAACACTATTAACCATACATCATAGCTGGCCTCACAATTTCATACTAAATTTAAAAACTATAATTAGTATTTATTCATATATTATATTTTAAAATCAAAGAACTACTAATCAGGATATAATTAAAGAAATAAGAGTTGATGTTGCTTTTGGAATAATCCACCAATTTCTCTAAATGAAACACTATCTACAGATTTGCATCGAAGCGTTTCTTATGATAGTGATTTTAATCACTGTCAGATATCATCTATACTTGTCCCATCTATGCCTCGTCCACACTGTGCCTCGACCCCACTGTGCTACCGTTTTTTTACAATAAAATGTATGTTTTTTGTAGTCTCGAAAAAAAAAGTTGTTTGTTACTATGCTAGTTGGTCATGGTATCGATATTCAGATGGAAAGTTTAGCCCGGAGTATATCAAGAAAGATCTTTGCACGCATGTAATTTATGCATTTGCTTCATTGGAACCAAATGACTTAATAATGGTAGCTGGTGACGAGTGGGAAGATATTGAAAACAGTAAGATATTTTTATTGTCTAGGGTAATTTTTAAACTATAATGCTCACATTAATGTTCTTAGAAATATATCAACGATTTATTTCAAGAGTAAAATCGGAAAACACCAAAATTATGGTATCTTTAGGAGGATGGACTGACTCATATGGTGATAAGTATTCAAAACTTGTGAGCAGTGGGATAGCTAGAAGAAAGTAAATAAGGTTATATTAAGTTTTTTGAACATCTTTTTGCATTTTATTTTTCAATACAGATTTGTAAACTCCGCCGTAGCTTATCTGAGAAAGTATGGATTTGATGGTCTTCATCTAGACTGGAATTATCCGGTTTGTTGGCAAGCTGATTGTTCTTTAGGTCCACTTACAGATAAAATAAATTTCGTCAAGTTAATACAAGTAAAATAAAATTACTTAAGTATATTATAAAATGCTATTGCAAAATATTGAAAAAGTTAAGAATAATTCTATTATTACGTTTTTGTAGGATTTAAAAACAGAATTAAAGAAACAAAATCCACCATTAGAGTTGTCCTCATCAATATCTGGTTATGATGAAATTATCAAAGAAGCTTATGATTTTCCTATTTTGAGTCAACATTTGGACTTCATGACAATAATGACATATGATTTTCATGGTTCATGGGAAAATATAACAGGTCATGTAAGTCCAGGTTACTACAAAAAAGGAGATGAATTTCCTAAATATAATATGGTAAGTTTATTTGAAATTCCTATAATAAGTGATATAATTTAATGAGCTTTAATTTTTTTTCATTGTATTGTACTTTATTACAAATTTTAAATCACAAACCGATTAAAACTTTAAATAATTTGACATAATATAGTACCCAACTTGTATTTTGAGCTTAAAGTTTTTTTTTATTGTAAAATTTTTTTAATATAACTAAATATTATGCACGGGGTTCAAAATTTGTTTGTTGCGTTAAATTTTTAAATTGTTGTGCGAAAGGAATTAAAACTTAATAAAAAAACGAAAATAATCACTTTTCAATAAAACTTTAGAATATATAATGTGACTGAACAATAAACAATACAATACTACATTAATTCTTAATACTAATACAAATTAATAGAAAAATGAAATAGAATTATGTAGAATAAAGTAGAAATATGATATGAATAACACAAGAGTGTAAGTAATTAGCGCATACTAAACCATGACTGACTGTATGGATTTTACAGAGGAAGTCCTTCACTTATCTTTGCTCTAGATCCTTTGGTCTGCACATTCCTGTGTCCGATGGATATTCTATACTCTACGCAATTACAAAATAATACTCAGGGGTTCTTAACAAAATATTAATTAACATTTCAAAATCAGTTCAATTTTATTAATATTTTTTATATATTACATACATATAAATACTTAAAAATTACATTAACAAAAAGAAATTGTGTGATTTTATAAATATTAAGTAGCTACATTTTTTTCATCTGTAATTAATACGAAAATTGTAAAAATGCACTAAGTCCATTATATTTAGACATTGTCAAAAACAGTATAATTTTTGCTATTAGTCATGTTATAATTGTATCATAATTAATGAACTGAGATAATTATGTATAACTAAATATTGTAATTATATGCATTTATAAATTTTGTTAGTCATTTTGAAGGGTCCCAAATTTTTGTCGTTGGAGTAGTGTAAAAATATTTTTAATTTTAGGGGGTTATGAACCTTCTTAAAACGTTCCCTGATTATAACCTCTATAACAACACTATCAACCTATATTTCCAGATCAGTTAATAAAAATTTGTATTGTTTGATAGTGGGTTCAAAACAAATTAATAAAATTTATAAATGCTTATAATTCCGGGTTTCATTTATAACTTACTTGAAAAATATCACATGTTTTTTCATACAGGATTCGGCTGTTAAGTTAATCCAAAGATTAGGTGCAGATCCAAACAAGATTGTTGTTGGTTTACCTCTTTATGGACAGTCATATACTCTGGCTTCAAACTCTGAACATGGGCTTGGAGACCCAATTAAAGGAGCAGGTATTCCAGGAGAATATACTCAACAACCAGGAATGTTAGCATATTATGAAATATGTAATAGAGGTATAAACATATCTATCTAAATGAATATAAGGTTTTTAATGTTGATTTTTCCCATTTTAGTTAACAATGAAAATTGGGAAGTTTCAAGAGACAAAAAAAGTGGATTGGATCCATATGCTTATCATGGAAATCAATGGGTTAGTTATGAAGACGAAATATCTATAAGAATAAAAGTAATTATCTAAAATCAAAAACCATTTTTAAAGGTTTAGTTATAAAATTGTGTGTTTTTTTATTACCCTTAGTCTGAATATATTTTGAAAGAAAATCTTGGAGGTGCTATGGTTTGGACTATTGACCTAGACGACTTTAATAACAGATGCTGCAAAGGAGCTTACCCCCTTTTAACAAAAGTTAATGAAGTTTTTAATAGAATTTCAATAAAAAACTCAAATGTCAGTTGTAACAAACCTAACTATCCAGTTACACCTGCAAATCCAGTTCTCATTACTACTGAAGAAGGCGAAGGTATAGTTAAACTATTATTATTGTTATATTTTTATTTCATGTCTTCTCATAAAAGCTATACTTGTTGTATAAAAAATGTCTAGTTAATACAATTTTATAAAAAAAAAAAGATTATTTGGTATATTCATTTGAGATACATAATTATAATACTATAGTTCAATGACTATGTAGATTTTTTATAAGAATGTCACAACATACATGAGTTGCAAAAAAATCTTCAATTTAATTAAATCTTATATAATTATCTTAAATAATTATATTTATATTATAGTTAGTGATAACATTTTTAAGTTTACAAAATGTATGATTTTTTTTAGTCGTCTTTTTATTGTGTGCAAATATACCTTAAATAAATATAAAATTACTAAAAATAAAATATAGCCGTGTTCAAGGAGGTAGTTATTATCCTTGACATTTAAATATTTTTTTATTAAATGTTAGTCTCATATAAATTTATATTTTTTATTTTATTTACTTTAGCAATTAACATTAAAATATTTATCTACTTAGATGATATATTAGACTCTTATTAATTGGATTAATTAAAACAATTGTGTAGGAGGATGGGAATATCAAGTTTCAACGACTTCAACAACTTTTTCGCCGCCATCAACAGAATATATTAGTAAACCATCATATCAAACAACAACTACGCCAGAACCTGAAGTTTCAACTCCGTCCTTTTTAGTTAATCAGACAACAGAAAATCAACAATTACTAATACAATCAACTAATAGACCTCCAGCGAGACCTTGGTGGTCTGAGTATCCTACAACTAGGCCTGGACAACAAGGGCAACAACAAAATCCAAGAACATGTGTAGAAGGATCATTTAAACCATCGAGGGAGAGCTGCCAAAATTATTTTAAATGTAAAAATGGAAAATATAGACGACATTCTTGTAAACAAGGACTTCTATGGAATAGATATACTAACAAGTGTGATCTATCTGAAATTGTAAATTGTAACAACTCTGGTAAATTAAAACAAAAAGTGATCGATATTATAATAAAATAATTTTTTATAAACTTAAATTATAGGCAAACCCATTGTTGATGATTTATTAACAATGCCAGAAAAATCAACTTCTACATCAACTAATGTTTATAGACCACCTACAATACCAACAGTAATAATTTAACTCATTTGCATGTTTTTGATCAATTATTCTAATCTATTAAATTTTGTTTAGACTGAAAATAGTAAAGTATGTATAGAAGGCGAAAAAGTAGCTATAATCGATGACTGCACATCTTACTATTTATGTTCATATGGTATCTATATAAAACAAAATTGTGCTCCGGGTTTGGCGTGGAATGACCAAGTAAAACTATGTGATTGGAAAGAAAATGTATACTGCGACAATAAACGTTCTGAAAATAGACTTTTACAAAGATACAGTATAAATAATCCAAATAATATAGACATGATATCATTTCAAAAGTTACCCAATCAAATATTTGTTATAAAATCATCGAATTACATTGAATGTCAAGATGGTCAATTCTCTCCTCATCCAGGAGATTGTAACAAATACTTACAATGTTTATGGGGAAAATATAATACGAACTCTTGCCCAACTGGACTTTACTGGAACGCTGTAAGTTTTTTTTTAATTTATATTTTTCCAAATTAAATATGTTATACTTTAAACAGAGACTCAATGTATGCGATTGGCCTTATAACTCTGGATGTTCTATAACACAACAAATCAGTAATTATCCGACTAATGTACCACTGTATCCTTATGAAATACAAACAATTCGGCCTACTTCAAAACCAATATCAAGACCCACAATTTCAACCTCCAGTACTTCTATTCAAAATTGGTGGCAGCCTTCTACTACCAATATAATACATACTGAAGACCCATGGGCTTGGAAGCCTGAATTAACGACTGAAAATCCAGGTTGGTGGAAACCTGAACCATCAACTACTCAACGTCCATTTGAATGGCAACCTGAATTGACGACTGAAAACCCAGGTTGGTGGAAACCTGAAACATCAACTACTCAACATCCATTTGAATGGCAACCAGAAACCACCGAAAAACCATTTGAATGGAAGCCAGCCACTACTACAGAAAATCCATGGGAATGGAAGCCAACTACAACTACAGCAGCTACTCTGCCGACAAAAAAACCTGATTATCAATTAACAGGTTAGTATCTAAATAAAAATAGTTATTCAAAATTTATAATTTATTATTTTTTTTTAGAAAAATATAAAGTTGTATGTTATTTTACTAATTGGGCATGGTATCGACCTTCTCCTGGAAAATTTTTCCCCGAAGATACTGATCCAAATTTATGCACACACGTTATTTATGGATTTGCTACATTAGATTACACTGAACTTACCATAAGAGTATATGATTCGTGGGCAGATATCGATAATGGTATTTATAATAAAATTTCATTATATTATTTAACTATAACGAAAAAAATTGTAATGATATGGTAATTTATAAAAATAGGAAAGATTTTAGATTGAAAATATATGTAATAATATATTTTTGTTAAAAATATGTTTTGATTTATAATTTTAGCTTTTTATGAGCGCCTGGTAGCTTTGAAAAAACGTGGTGTTAAGGTTTCAATTGGTCTAGGAGGTTGGAACGACTCAGCTGGAGATAAATATAGTCGTATGGTAAACAGTCGAGCAAGTCGTAAAAAGTTTATTAGCAGTATACTAAATTTCATACAAAAATATGGATTCCAAGGTTTAGATCTCGATTGGGAATATCCAAAATGTTGGCAGGTATTGTGAAATATTACCCTTTTATTATTTTATGTTGAAATTTTATTTACTACAGTATAATTTTTAATATTCCAATTAAAATTTTTTAAAGACAAATTGCAACCAAGGACCTGATTCAGATAAACAAGCATTTTCAAATTTAGTAATAGAACTCAGACAAGCTTTTAAACCGTTTGGCTACCTGTTATCGGCTGCTGTTTCACCTAGTAAAACTGTTATTAATGCAGGTAATATAATTTACTTTCATATATATATATATTGTGTCAACGCGTGTCAAAACAACGCGTGTTCGTTTTTATGATGTATTCAACATATATTTTAGGGTATGATGTTCCTAGTTTGAGCCAGTATTTGGATTGGATTGGTGTTATGGCATATGATTACCATGGTCAATGGGATAAGAAAACTGGACATATTGCACCAATTTATTATCATCCTAATGATGATATAAGTTATTTTAATATTGTAAGTCAATTAAATTCAATCAACTTTGATGTTGAAAGTATTAATAACATTTAAATATTTAGAATTATACAATTAACTACTGGATTTCGAAAGGAGCCAATAGTAGAAAAATTGTCTTAGGTGTACCATTATACGGTCAATCGTTTACCCTTTCCGATCCTAATAATCATGGATTAAATGCTCCAGCGTCTGCTGGTGGAGAAGCAGGGCAGTTTACACGATCTGCCGGATTTTTAGCTTACTATGAGGTATTTAATAGTTTACTTTTTATAATTAAAACAATTAAATTAAATTGTGTTACGCAATTAGATTTGTATTAAACTTGCAAGTGGACAATGGAATATTGTTCATGATCCTAAAAGAAGAATGGGGCCATATGCTTATAATGGTAACCAATGGGTTGGATATGATGATATTTGGTCCATTAGACAAAAGGTGTTATAGAACTTCTTTAGTAAAAAAAAAATTATATAATGTAATTTTCTTATAATATTATAGTCAGAGTATGTAAAATCAATGAACTTGGGCGGTGCAATGATATGGGCATTGGATTTAGATGATTTTCGTAATATTTGTGGTCAAGGGCATTATCCTTTGCTCACAACTATTGTCAAAACATTGGGACAGAGAAGAGATAGTAATTATTTATCAATAATTGATTGCTATGAATAACTTAAATATCATTTTTTCTGATATAGATTATCCTAGTACATCTCCAATGACTCCAGATAATGGTTCTTTGCCGTTAATTACTGGAGCCTATCCAAGCATTGAAACATCAACAGAAGAATTGGTTTCAACTAAACCGCCATTTACTCGTCCGACACCTCCATCTTGGGTAACGTCCTCCACAAAACCAATTTCTAATCCTCCAACTCTCCCAACCAGACCAACGCGACCAACTCCACCTACATGGCCAACACCCCCTATTCGACCAACTCCACCTACATGGCCAACACCCCCTACTCGACCAACTCCGCCTACATGGCCAACACCCCCTACTCGACCAACTAATACCACACCAATTACATCAACAAATCTTTCAGCACCTGAATATTTCAAGGTTGTTTGTTATTTTACAAATTGGGCATGGTATAGGTCAGTAAATAATTTACTTAAATTTTTTTATATAAAAACTTAATACTATTATAAACTTTTAGACAAGGTGGTGGTCGATATTTACCCAGTGATATTGATCCTTCATTATGCACACATATTGTATATGGGTTTGCAATCCTCGATAACGATGAATTAATTATCAAGGCACACGATCCTTGGGCAGATTATGATAATTGTATGTATATTATATTTAACATTTAACAATGAAAAACATTATTTAAATAATATATTGGTCAACAGTCTTTTACCAAAAAGTGACAGAATTAAAAAAATTCGGTGCTAAAATACTATTGGCTATTGGTGGCTGGAATGATTCAGCAGGAAGTAAATACAGTAAATTAGTTAACAGTCAATTCGCTCGCAGTAAGTTTATTAGGCATGTTGTATCTTTCCTAAAACAGAATAATTTTGATGGTTTGGATTTGGATTGGGAATATCCAAAATGCTGGCAGGTAAATTATATGAAATGATTTTCTAGGTTTTTTACTTCAAAATCTGTATATTTTTAATTGTAATGAAGGTGGATTGTACAAAAGGTCCAAGTAGCGATAAAGAAGGATTTTCAAATTTATTAATTGAATTAAGACAGGCATTTAATAATGAAGGATTTTTACTATCAGCAGCTGTTTCACCTAATAAAGCCGTAATTGATGAAGGTATTAAGTTTCATCCAAAATATTATTTTATCTTTTTAACTTTATTAATTATAATTAATTTTCATTTCCAATAAGGATATGACGTACCAGTATTATCGAGAACGTTAGATTGGATATCGGTAATGGCTTACGATTATCATGGTCAATGGGACAAAAAAACGGGTCACGTATCTCCAATGTATGCGCATCCAGATGATTATGACATGAAATTCAATTCAGTAATTTTATTCAAATTTTCATCAGATTTTCTTTTTATTAATATATTTAATTCCTTTATTAGAATTTCACCTTGTACTATTGGGTAAGTAAAGGTGCAGACCCTCGTAAGTTAGTTATGGGCATGCCAACGTACGGACAATCATTTTCGTTAGCTACAGCAAAAGATAACGGATTGAATGTTCCAACGTATGGTGGTGGTGAAGCTGGTGAGGCGACACGATCACGGGGATTTTTAGCTTACTACGAAGTAACTATAAACACAAGTAACGAAGAAAAATTATATTGAATTTTATATTAAATTTTTTAGATTTGCTATAGAATAATAAAACAGAACTGGCGTGTAGTTCAAGATCCTTTGGAAACAATGGGCCCATACGCGTATAGTGGCGATCAATGGGTATCTTTTGATGACCAAGAAATGATAAGATATAAATCTCAATTTGTAGTGCGTAATGATTTAGGTGGAGCAATGATCTGGGCATTAGATTTAGATGATTTTAAGTAAGCTTTTAAATAAATTTTCATCTAAATATACGTATGATATTAATTTGGTATCATTTTTTTATTGTAGAAATGTGTGTGGCTGTGAAACGTATCCTTTATTAAAAACTATCAATCGAGTATTAGGCCGAATACCAGAACCTGGCCCCGATTGCTCTCTAGATCAAAGTGAAAATGATATTGAAACTAGGATGTTAAAAAGTTTTAATCCAGATGACGCCAAAATTCTTATGTCTAACAAAAACCAAAACTGCGAGGAACCATTATTAAAAAGTCACCCCGATGATTGCAATAAATATTTAATTTGTCAATTTGGTGAAATTCATGTACAAAGTTGTCCAGATACTTTATACTTCAATAAAGTAATATTTAATAAAATTATTTCCTAAATAGAAATTATATTCAAATCTACTTGTTTTTAGGAAAATCAATTATGTGATTGGCCAAGCAGCGTTAACTGCACTATGAATACATTAAGTTGAAAGTTGAATGTAAGAGTTTAATGAGATTTAATTATCAAGACTGAATTTATATCACATATTGACTTATGAAATACTTAACTATTGTTTAATGGAAATTTGTAAAAAAATTAATGTATTTTATTCATTTTATCTATTTGGCCATATTTATTAGGTTTATTTTTCAAAAAGTTTTTAAGATAATTTTAACCTATTTTCATTTTATTGCTGGAATATTAGTGAAGTATGTACATGAACTCTGTATAACTATATGTTAGTTATTATAATATTTTAGTATATATAGTCAATATTTACTAAAATATTTAAAAATTTTTATTAAAAATTTGGTTTATACAAATTATTTTTGTATTATAAGTAAATAAATGTAATAATAAATGTATTATAAAAAAAAAAATCATAAGTATTAAATCAATTTTATCATGTTTTAAAACATTAAAAATATTAAAGAGTAAATTTTCATCTATGAAGCTAATGATGCTACATTTTTTTATTTTTTACATACCTAAATTTTAATATAAAATTATACAATTTTAGGAACAGCAAAAAAAAATTAAATTAAATGAGTTAGCAGAACATTCACAATGATTTCTTTATTCAATATATTATGCAATGACTTTATTTGATTACTTATTGTTATAAGATAGACTATTTATATCTAATTCTTAAAAATTATTGTGTAATGATACTATTTTATTTTTAAATGTTATTAAATTATTATATGCATAATAAACAATGAAGTTACAATATAATTCTTATATTATTATTAAAATTTTTTATTTTATAATGCCAATACAAAAATAAAGGTAAATTAGAATTTGTATAATAATAGTTTACAGTTTAGCTAATTACTTTAATTGTTTTCATGATATTTATATACTACCAACTACTATGATGTTCACAAAACTAAATTTTTCAGTTAATATTAGTTGACATCAATTTGAGGATAAACTGTACAAAAAATTTATTTAAAGAAATCTTCACATATTTTACACTAGTGACCTATATTATAGATATTATACTAATTGTATAATTAATGTCATGGACCATTAAACACTTATTACATACAAATTAAAAAAAAAATAGTCAACAAAAATTAAAATATACACAAATAATTATATATATATATATATATATATATTTTTTTTTTTACTTAAAAATGTTTTAGTTTTTACAGAAAAAATAGAAATTTTAAACTCACATTTCAATAATGGAATGGAAAAGTTAATTAATATTATTTAAATTTTTTTAAAAAATTCCAAATACCTTATAAATGGTAAAATTTTTGTTTCTATCACAATTATTATGTTCTAATAAAAATACAACTCTTATAGTAACTGATAAAGAAAAAAAATTGAAATAAACACATTTTTGTAAAAGATAATTATGTTTTTAATGTTTTGAATAAACAAGTAAAATATTATAATATAAATTGTCTTTCTAAGCTCTTGGTTTAGACCTGCCTGCATTGGTTTCAAATAATTTTCGCACAAAGTATACTTGTAATGTAGTTGTTCCTATAATTAGTACTATCTGCATAATAGACCACCTATTTACATAAGTCTTGTTATCTACTAATAAATTATAATCACGATTTTCTTGACTACGAAGGTGATATTGATGTTGTAGCATAGTATTGATATTGGTCTCAACAGTTTTTACAGTCGTCTAAAATATAAATTAATACATTATTGAACAATAACAAAACAATTCTTAAGTATTCTAAACCAATATATTATAGAAGAAAATACTAATATTAAGTTAAATTATACACTAATTATTAAGTTGTTTTTTTATCTTTAATGTGAAGCTGAGAGGGTATTGTCATAACTTTTTGAATAATAGATGAATAGAAACAACATTTTTTTTATAGATACATTAGGTATTTAACTATCATTAGGATGGGTTATATATTTTTTAAAAAACTTGACCCTTTACCTGCCAACGTGGAGAATCAAAATGATAACTTTTTCAATTTAACTTTTGAAAGTGTTCCGGAAATATTAACACTTTTGAATGTATCTTAAGTTAAATCCTATATAATATACTTTATTATGGAAAACTAAAATTTCGAATTTTAGTTTGTCTTCATGGTCAATATGGCTACCATATTCAAAAATAAGCTATTTTTGGATTAAAATACTTAATTTTATATTTTTAACTTTATATTTATATAAAGTTTTGAAAAATGTATGGATCAATTTATTTTTTTTTATAAATAATATTTTATATACCATTCATCTGACATACTTTTTTTTTATAATTGCATAATTTCCCTTAAAATTCTTAGTTTTGTATTTTATTTTATTTTAAAATACCTTACAAAGGATTGCGAGTTAGAAGGTAATTTTTAACTCATTTGATTTTTATCTCATTTAGATTAAATAACTTCAATGAATATCAAGGTATCACAGTAGTCTCCCCTTGTGAGTAGAAATTTCTTATTCATATTAAAATAATTTTAATATGTGGTTTTCTTTTTGTGGCTGTCATTTGTTTTCTCAGCTCTCACTTGACCAATTTTTTTTAACAATACATCAAAACTATTATCTAGTTAAAGATATTACCCTCAAAAATTGAAAAAAATTCTCTTTAATAAATATAAATGAATTATACTTTTAAATCTAAGAACAACTAATTAGAATATAATTAAGGAAATAGAAGTTGATGTTGCTTTTGTAATTATGTACCAATTTCTTAGAATTAAATACTATCTACAGATTTTCATCAAAGTATTTCTTATGACAGTGACTGTAGGATATTATCTATACTTGTCCTAACTATCTCCGTCTATTCTGTGCCGTGACCCTACTGTGCTACTGTTTTATTTTGATTTTGATTTGGAATTGTTTGTTTAAAGAATTAGAAAAAAATGTGTCTCAACAAATACTTACTGTAAAATTCTCAACACTAAGATTCATATCTTCTATTTCTTTGTGGTATTCATCCCATTTGTCATATCTTAACAAAAGTATACAATCATTATAGTATTTGATATCTTAAGTCATATTTAGTTTGAATAGAAATGTACTTATTTTTATCTATTATTTCTTATAAATGAATGAGCGATTTTTTTTTTTAATATAAGGGCGGCTTTCATTTAAATTTAAACAATTATAATATATTAAAAATATTTCAGCAATATCAACACATAAAAATTAAATATTGATTATGTACTGTTGTTATTTCAACATATTATAAGTTTTAAGACAACTTTTTAGAGAATTGTTTAAGATATAAAAAATAGTTTATTTTGTACCTTATAACAGTGATGTATAAATTTACTAATTTAGCTGCAAATTTTGAAAACTGATTATCTATACAAACACTGTAGTATCCACCAGTAGAAGTTTGATCTTGATAATCAGAACTTGCTTTCCATTGATATGGATGTACTATTTGACCATTAGGATGTCTAACTGCAAAACCAGCCATTCCATCACCGCCTCTCAAGACCTTTTTAAGAAAAATACTACTTATGTATTTTGATAGATACATTATATTATTTACAATGTAAAAAATACTTGAGCACTAGCATAAAATGTAGCTCCAGGATTCACAAACTGAAAGTAGCAATCTTCTTTACCAGGATCAATAATTACTTTGTAATCCATAGCAACGGCTGGTAAGGTTTCATACCAAGGTGCTGTAGGTTGAGGTGGTGGTGGCTGTTCTTGTGCTACTGGCATTGATTGAGCTTGAACCAGTCCATAATCATTTTTGTCTAATAGAACACAAAATGTATAAAAACATAATAATAGGTGTACAGTTTCTTTTTCCCGAATGCTTCTAAAAATCTTCATCATAAAATTAACTAACATATAAATATTATTTTTAGAGTTTATATTATTTTACAATATTTCAAACATTTTCAAAACGTGTACTTTCACTTAATAATAATGGTTATAACATATGTCTATGATATCTTAATGATAAAATATATCATAGATATTACACAGTAAATCTATATTGATACGCGTGTCGTGTATGAAGTTAGGATCGAATATTTTTATCAGTTTGTTTATATCTTATACTGTTGTTACTTGAACCGGTTCAATTATTCACCGATGACGTATTGCAGCAAATTATACCAAAATATTTTTTTATATAACCTGTGATATTGCTTAAATTGTGAATCAAATTTTAAGTAACATTTGTTTGCTTAAAATTTATTAAAAATTAAAAAAAAAGAAACATGAATAGATTTATAATTTTTATTAATGAATCATTTTGTAAGTAAATATATTAATTTCCCTTAAATTTTTTTATAAAATAAACATAATTTCAAATATTGTCGACAAATTATGTCTCCTAGTTAAGTTATGCAATTGATGTTTAATTTATAAATCGGATATTAACTAATAGAACAATTACAATATACATTAAAAATTGTTAAATGTATAGGTAAACACAAAACGACTATTAGATGGTTTTACAAATCTAATCAATTAGTGTATAAATCATAGACAACGTGTCTATTATAAGAATACATTGCATTAACCATGCATTTAAATTTTTAACTCGCAGCCAAATTTTTAATTATATGCATTTAACGTATAAGTAAAAGCTTATTATTGAAATGAAAGTTTACCTTTATTTAAAAAAGTTATTTTGAGATATGTGTCATAAGACATATAATAAGGAAAATATTCAGAATACATTTAAAGGGACATGGGTTCTACTAATCTTACATTTTAAGTAAAAATCATCGAGAAAAGGTAACTAAATTTTAATTACTCATAAATAACACAAAAGTAGAACCTAACATAAGTAAATTTCCATTGAATTTATTATTAAAAAGATATGTTTTAACTATAATTTTTAATGTAACAGACTTTATATATCATTTTACAATGAATACATCCATCAGTGCGCAGTGGATTAAAGAAAATTACCATGAAGATTAATACATTTTTTAGTTCTATTTATATATAGATTTAATTTTGAGAGCATTGCTCGTATTTTTCAATATTTTCTTCGTTAATCGTTTCGGCTAGTTCGTCATTTTCGTCAGTGAAAAGCTCTGCTTTTAAACCATTTTGAGGATCAATTTTAAAATGTTTATTTTCATTGATTACAAAATTTTCATCGATTTCGTAGCCTAATCTATCCAATAACATCTTATGACTAATTAATGCTTTTCCATAATTTATTAAAAATTTTTGAAACGAAGATTTCATTGTTTCTGAAATTTCACCGGGAAATGCTGTTTGTATATAGTTTACAAATTCATCCTTATAATGCTGCAAACATAATTTAAAACAAATATCTTTTATAAAAAAAAAAGAACATGAATAAGTACAATGTAGAATTTTTACTTAATATTTTTGTTATTTTCATTATGATTAATTAAAGTAGTACAAACATAAAAAAAAAATTCCTATTAATATTCAATTGAGTTAAATATAATTTATGGAACTAATTTTATTTTTCAATCAATAAAAAATAATTAAATTACCATAAAATCAGCCATGGTAATAAATCTATGTGTAATTAAAATTTTTATCAGAGCAATGTGCATAGCTCGAGGGTCATATAGAGCATTTAATACGGAAAGTTGATACATTATATTTGTCACCGCTTGAATTTTATAAGAATTTTGAGCTTTTATGTTATTAGTACATTTATCAATACTCAGAATCTTTTTAAAGTTTTCATTTGTTGTATAAACTCTGTAAAATAAAAAAAGCCAGTTATAAGATTAAATAATGTTAATCACATAGGTTGTAACTAAAATCAAATTTTAAAGGGTAATATATTTTACTTTCCCTCTTTGTAAAAAAATATTTTGACATATCTATAAATACAGAATGATTCATTTATCGCGAATCCTTTAATCCAAAAATAATAATAATATTGAAAATATTTTAATTGGTTTGTTTTAGGCAAATGATTTTCTCGATTTCGTAATCATGAAATAAGTTTTATGATAATCCTTTATACCACATAAATATGTCAACTTAAATTAATTTCACAGTGGATGGTTCGACATTCAAATGATTTTATCATTTCTGTTTCGCAATTAACAATGCAGTTAAGGCCGTCAAAGTCGAAGACACGCAAGGTGACGCGAAAATCTTAGAACGGCCGTCGAGATGATAATAGATATGATTAATAGACAATATACATAATTAACTAGCTTATTTATTAGCTTAACTATTAACTGTTTTAAACCAGTATTTTGGGAGTTATTGTTTAAAATAACAACACCCCAATTTGACCTCCAGCCATCACTATGAAATATTAATAACTTCCAAAATACTGATTCAAAAGTTGTTATCCAGCTTACATTAGATCATTACGTAATAACTACATAATGACTTAATTGACACCCTTATGAGCTATAAGAGATGAACATAAAAAAATCTTCTTAATTAATAAATTAAGAAAAACATATACCTAAAATAGTTTAAATAAAAAGTTCTCGATATTATTTTTGATTAGGTGGTTTGTAATAAATGAATCTCGTTGAATAATTTTCTGAAATTTCCTTCGAATCTGAGAGGAGGAGAGTTATTGGCTGAGGTCATTTATAGATGCGTCATTAGGCTACTTTTATTAATAAATTAAAAACAGATTATAATTTCTGATTTTTAAAAATTATAACAAAATATTATAAATTGTTATCTAAAGCGTTCATGTAGTAAAATAAACGATAAAAAATAAAATATTTCAAAAGTTTTTTTAATAATCCCCTACTTTACTTGATTGGGTCAATTTTTACTTATTATCAATATAATAATTACACTCTCTGTGATCCAATGCAATGTTTTAAAGGATTCCTTATAAACAAGGCGTATATGTCGTTAATATGTTTAATATGCTTTTCTTCGAGAAATAGCAAGTTTACATAAGAATTTTTCGCATAGTTTTCCGGGTTCGGATCCATACTATTATTTTGAACGTTGCCCATTTTCGTAATAATAGAAAAATTGTTTTAATCTAGGTAAATATGATGTGCATGTAAAAAGACATCCATGGTAACTGAATGGGTTTTAAAATCATTATCATTTTTTATCTATTAGTTATCTTTTTCAAAGTTTATGCATTATAATTTACATAAATTTGTTTTCCGATACCTTATTCGTAATATTAAAGAATAATGATTATTGTGTATTTTTTAGCATTGTTAAAAACATTAGGAGATCTGAACTCTGTTATCATGTTTTCAGTTTATTATTTAAAAATAATGTATTGTACCCTACTCAATATGTATTTATGGTTAAATTAAGAACTCAATTTACGTAACATTTTTTGGTAAACAAAACTAAGTTATCTTTTTTATTTGTTAGATTATATTTTTTACTGAAAATATAAGAATTATTTTTCTTGATTTTGAGTACCATGAATTTAATTGGAAATTAGTTATAGTTTTGATAAAATTTACATGTATTAATATGTAAATGGTACAACGTTTTTAAATATTTATTTTTTTAACATGACCACATTTTAATCCATTATAACCTTGTTATTTGCTTATAATTAGAATTAGAAATTTTCAAAGTTACTAAAAGCAAGCTAATACTATATGAGTACTAAAGAATAAAGATAAATGAATACATGTGTAAGTAATATACATGAGAAAATTTAAGTAGGATTTAACAAATTTTTGATAACTTCACTAAAAGTGCCAAAAACTACATTATATCGGGACCACAAAATAAATGGAGATAACTTTTTAAATATACATAAAATTTATTTCTATGCTGTGTTGATTGTAACTTAAAAACTAGAAATGAATATTATTAACTATTTCCATACATTTTTTGGTTTTATATTAATTTCAATTTCGGAGCATTGGCATAATAAACATAATAACGAATATTTCTTATAGCTGTTAAATAAATCAATTTATAAGCTATAATAAAACAATGAAAAATAATAAAAGAGCTAAAGATTATTACAAGGATGACATCAATTAAAAGGTATTGGTACCAAACTAGACTAAAACTAGGGCATTTTAAGTGTAATGCATCGTTATGGCGAAGAACGTATTCAGTCCAATAGACAACTAACTGTGCGGGTGTCATGGATCGATCTTTATAGATTTTCGCTACGGTTCTTGCATTTTTTGTATAACTAAGTAAAAATAAAATAATTGTTAATTAATAATTAAGAGTATCTTATTTATTGTTAAAATCACTATGAAAATATGATTCATAAGACATAGTTAAGATGCATATAACATTTACTTAATAATACAGAAAAATGATCGATAAAATATATTATATCGATCATTTTTCTGTATCGTCTGTTCAATTCTTGCGCCATAAACTTCAGATTGTTCAATAGCAACACATACATTTATATAAATTGCTTGTAGATATTTGTACCAGTGGGTATTTATGAGTGGGGGTCTAAGGGGTCCGGTACCTCATAGATATAAAATCATGGAATCGAAGTTCCCCGAAACTTTGTATTCTGAAACTCAACCCCCCATTTGCAAATTCCTAAATAAACCATTAAATTGTACATTTATATTGAACTTAATTAAAAATACTGCTACTCACTTTAAATTGTTAATTAATTTAATTATAGCATCTTTTAAATCTTGTTTTTTCATAGTAAAAAAATCCATAGAAATAGCCATTCCTGCTTCTACTAGGGTTTCCATATTTTTTGACTGATCAAAAAATAAAGGAAACCCTAATACTGGAACACCAGCATCAGCTGTTTCGTGTATTCCTGATATGCCACCGTGACTAATGAACAATTTTACTTTGGGATGTACTAAAAATTATTTAGTATCATTAAGTGATGATAGAACTATAATTATAATTAATGTAATTATGTAAAAAATATCTTACAAAGAATATCTCTTTGTGGAAAAAATGTTTTGGTCATAATATTAACTGGTTTATCTTTCATTTCACTTTCATATTTCCACAATACTCTTTGCGGTATTTGTGATAATACTTCTTTAAATATATTTAATGTATTGTTTGGTAAACTTGACATCGCTATTATCGTTCCAAAAGAAAAATAAATAACGCCATGAGGTGAATCTTCAATAAATTCTAACACGTCCTTTTAGTATTATGAAAAAATGTAAGATGTTTACAACTAAACCTATATTAATTGATTTATGTTGAATAATAATTATCTGCTAAGTAAACTAATTATATGTTTTCAGGTATACAATACGTTTTAATGTCAACATATAACCTCATCAATGTAAATTGGGTTTGTATTTAAATTGTAATCGCTTATCAATATTTTTTACAAGATATTTTAGGTAATTTTGTATTTCATGATTTTTGCTTTTAGTGTAATTTAAATTTAAAAAGAACTTCAATAATATTCAGATGTTATATAGTTTTGTTGAAATTAAATTTTCATGCCAAAATGTCTTTTTAGTACATTTTAAAGTAAACAACATAAATCAGATGATTATAACAGTTAAACATTGATTTTGTTTACTTACTTTTGGTAACAGTTTAGGAGATTGCAAATGTATTCCACCAATTTGTATAAAATTGGCAAAATTAGATCTAGGTGATTCATTGATCAAATGCGTGTTGGAAAAAATTAAAGAGCATTTTGCAGGATCTATTTCATCATAAAATTGTTTGGACTGAGTTTTCATTTGATACTCTGAAAGTTTAAGTAAGTATGAGCTGTATAGTGTAAGAATAGTGTTTTCAAGTCTTTGCATAAATGTTTTAGGAAAAGCATGATCAGCCATCAAGTGAGAATTGACGGCAGGATTCGACATATACCCAAATATCTCCCATTCTATAAAAGTAATTTGAGTAGATGGAACGATATATATCAAAGGTCTGTTCAACTTAGCTGCTACATATGAGACGCACTCGGATGCCAATGGTTCGGTAATGACTAAATCGAATTCTGTGTCGTTGCCCTTTGCCAAAATGTCTTGCATTCGTTTGTGAGTATAAGTGGCGTAACAGTTATATCTTGTCACGTCCATGATCATAGGCATGTATGTTGACACTTGATGTAAAATTTTAAGAACGATAGAATATTCTAAATCAATTATTGGTAATATTACATTAGATAAGTCGATTTCAGTATAGTTGTCTCTATCTCCCTCGACGAATGAAGTGAACACAGTGACATTATGACCATGGTCGACTAGCACTCGGAGCACGCTGTTCATTACATTCCAATGACTTTTGCCTGCCAGCGTTTCTATAGCTAATATTCTAGCACATTCTGACGGTCCGACGACAATATGAGTACCTACAAAGACGCACGTACATATAATTGCATTAATTGAGAGAGACATAATACGTCATTTGTAAATTCGAAAACAAATGTTTGAATTCAATTATTCTTTTTTATTATTATGGATATCAATGATCAAACGATTTCAGAAATTAATAAAGGTCATAAGATCGTCGACAAGACTTAAATAAAAATAAAATTTTAAGATATTTATTTTATTAAAAAAATAAAACACGCATAATAAATAACCTTGACGAATTACTAATTTATGAATTAATTCCGATAACATTAACAGTACAAAACATGCCAAAATGCAACCAAATATTAAACTGCCTGTAAAATTTACTTGGTAGTGTTCGAGTTCATACTCCTTCCAACAATGCTAACCTGTTAGTTTTACCGAAGCGAATTTTGTTAAAAAAAAATTACTAAAAAATGCTGGCAAGATTAAAAATGCCTAATTGTTTATTAATTGTTAACTAAAAAAATCTCGCTCTGCGTAGGGGGCGAGGTCTAATAGACGCAGTTATAAATCTATATACCCTGCCCCACCACTTTAATGGTTTTACATGGAATAAAAAATGTAATACATTAAGTAAATGAGTTGTTTAATTTTTGTCTTTTTTGTAGCGAGAAAATAAAAAGATTATGTATATTTTTGTGTCTGATATTTATCATGTGATTTGTATAAAGAAGTGAGTTAGACCAATATTTGTTGAACTAATTACATTAAAGTAATCGTTCAATATGTACATATATTTATTATTCTTTTTAAAAAATATAAATAGTTTTTGATAAAAATTTTACTGAAATATAAATGCATAATTTTATATTACAGTTTTGTGAACAAAAAAACTAATCAAATATTAAATAATCTATTTATTTTAAAATTAGTATTCTCATTATTTAGAATTTATTAACATATTGACAATTATATTTCATTTGTTAGACGATGGAAAATTTTAATAGGTTAGGAATATGAATCTAAATAATAACACTTAGTGTTTCTTTAAAATTTATTTATTTAAAAAAATGTATTTTTAAGGAAACATCTTTTATGCTTCGGAAAATATTTTAAACATTTTGTATGGTATACTTTTTTTAGAGTTCAAATTAATTTGAAAAAAAAAACTCAACATTTATTTTAAAATCTTTATCATTTTACAGATGAATTGAAAAATGATATCTAAATTAAATTTGAAAATTTGTTTATAGATGTTAATTTTTATACTGAATCAATTACCACAAGTTGTTTTAAATTTCGGTCTGTTTGCAACCCCACTAAATTTTAGTACAAGATATTATACAAAAAATATTTAAACAAGTGTTTATATAACAAAGTATTTATGTTGAGTGACATTTGTTGGAAAAAATTAGATAGTTGTAACATCCATTTAAATAGATAGGGTAACTGAAAAATATGGTAACATAGCAACAAAACGTATAGTTATGATAATTGAACACATATGATTAAATATATATAGCTAAAACAACTATACAAAATAGTTAAAATCTAATCATTTTTTATGGTTGGACTAATTGTTCGTGTTGTTGGAATTAATATCTTAATCAGTAGCTTTAAGTGATTCACTTAGTTACTATTAGCTATACATGACTAGAATATTTAGTTGATCCAAATATAATCGGCAATTCATATTTATTTAGATATTCCAACTTGATCTTTATTGTTGGACCAACTAAAACTGTTAACTAATTATTTTCTGTAATTAAATTCTTTTTTTTCTGTATGAAGGATTCTGTACGAAGAAAAATACAACGTCAGCTATGTGGCAAAATTTTGTGTTATATTTTGGATTTTTTTAAATAAAAATGTGTACATATTACTTTATTATGCATATCAATATCAAAAGAGTAAAGTTTTCATGTTAATCATTAAAAACTAAAATTTCTTTATACAGTAACAATGACAAAACTGAAAAAATGTTCACTTCTCAAGTAAAAGTGATAAAATGTGACTTACGAGCAGTATTGAATTTAAAAAATATTTTTAGATGGTCCTTTCAGTATTAGTTCAACCAAAAAAATTTGTTTCGCTACATTTTTACATTTTTAAAAATTAATACTTTCTCAGCTTCGGATCGAAGCAAAAAAAAATAGGTTTCAACTCAACATTAAACAAAACATCACTTTAACTTTAAAAAAAAACTATGTTATCATTGCTACCCTATGATAGTCAGGAAGGCTATCAAAATTCCAGATGGGAATTATACCTGAATTTAACATTGCTTCCTAGTCATTACAGATAGCTGACAATAAGAAAAATACGTTATTGAAAAAAAAGATTACTAATAATGAAATGATATTTAAAAATCTTCAATTATTCAAATTTGTACCTATGACTAAGGTATAACACGTATTCAATACAGGAAATCTTCATTATATTTAAAATTATTGATCTATGTGTATAGGACCTTAGTCCTTTTATAATTTAATTTTTGCAGCACATTAGTTTAATTATTCAGGGAATTTCGTGGAATACAAGCGTAGCTGAAGAAAAACATAATTTAATTAAATACTTACAAACATTATTTGGTTTGTTTATTATAATTATTATTATGACTTTTTATAGTAAATTAAGTTACAAATTTTTATTAAATTAAAACAAAACTATATTTAAATATTTTTTTTTACAGCTTGAAGCAAAAATAAATACTGAATACTCATGATAAATAATATTTGGAATAAAAATATTAATGACACGTACCTAAAATCTACTGGAAATAAACCAGAAAATTTTTTTTTTAAATATCTGTAAGTTTCAAGTTAACTTTTTGAGGATTTTTGGGTATTATTACAATTTTTTTTTATTAAACAAACATTTATTTTTAATTAAAATTTATAAAATATGATTATTCTACAAAGTATAAAAGATTTTGAATAAAAATCTATAAAAAAAATTAGTTTAATTAATATGTAAATGAATAAACTGGGACTAATTTTTTTTTCAGCGATAGAAAAAATTGTCAATAATATAATATTATTCATTATGGCGTTTATGATATTGTGTTAAATTATTCTGATAAATTTAATCTTTCACAGAAATTTTGCTCTTTGTACATGTGAGAAAATTTATTATGTCATATTTATTCATATAATTCAATAACAATGAACTTCGTATTTGTTTTAAACTTTAATCAATCGATGTGAAATACTTTATATGAACTAAATTGCTTTAATTTTTAAGCTATTGTTAGGATACTAATTATTTGAATAACTTTATTTGTGAAATAGTATTCATAGATAAACTTTTCAGGCCTTTTACAGCAAAATTTCAAGATTAAACTGTGTTGAACTTATTTACTATATATATAAATGTACTATTGTCTGAAAAATTTAATTAAGTACTAATTTGTTTTAATTTAAAATTTAGTTTTTAATTGCTAATGAAATTTACTATATTTTAGCTTCAATGCGAAACTAGAAAAGTATTTATTTTACTAACATGTGTTTTTTTTTTTGTGTGTGTCTGTTACTACTTTTTCTCAGCTCTCACTGGACCAATTTTTCTAAACGATAAGTGAAAAGATCACAATTCGTATCTAATTGAAAACATTACCCTCAAAAATTGAAAAATTTGCCCCCGTTCCCCGTAAATGGTAGAAATCCTTCAAAAACTTTCGATTTTTAAAATCAATAAATTTCGACATTTTTTTTCACTTTTTTTTCTAAAAATTACCATAACTAATTGAAAAATGGACAAATTAAAATATATTTTTGATATTGAAACCATAAGTAATTCCCTTTTATTTGATATAATATTTTTGAAAAATCATACTCTTTACATGCTCACAAGAAAGGATTCAAAATTGCAACTTTTTTATAAAACTCAAATTTTTCAACTGAAATTTAAAAAATGTTTCGGAAATACTGCGTCTTTTAAATATTTGTTAAAATAAAGCTTATTTTATGTACTAGAAGTTCAAAAAAAAATATATGTCCCGATGACTATTCTATTTTCGTGTACAAATTTTATTTTTATGTGTTTATTTTAAAATACTTTAAAAAAGTTTGCCATAATAATGAGTCTACCATAAATATAAAATTTACATGAATCTAACTTACATTAAGTATACATTTATACTTATTTCAATTATTTTGCCTCTTCAAAGTTAAAAAATTTATTTGAATTTTTGAAAACTTGAAAATTTGTATTTTCAACTTAACTTTTGAAAATATTCCGGGAATACTGCGTCCTGTTAATTTATGTTAAATTAAAGCTTATTTTATGTACTAAAAGAAAAAAAAATTCTATATGCAAATGACAGTCAAAGTAGAACAAAAAGTAGAATTTAATTTTACTTTTGAAATAATCAACTAATTTCTTAAAATTAAACAATATCTACAGATTTTCATCGAAATGTTTCTTATGATAGTGATTTTAATTACAGTCAGATATCATCTATACATGTCCCAACCATGTCACATCTATAATGTGACACGACCCCACTGTGCTACCTTTTTTTTTTGTGTGTCTGTTGCCACTTTTTCTAAGCTCTCACTGGACCCATTTCTTTCAATGATACGTCAAAAATTCATATATCGTATCTAGTTAAAGACATTATCATTTATAATTGAAAAAATTTCCCTCGTTCCCTATAAATGGCACAAATTTCCCCAAAAAATTACAATTTTTTAAATCTGTAAATTTTGACATATTTTTAACTTTTAAAACTGCTATAACTTTTTGAAAAAAGAACATCTTCTACATGCAAATGGCTGCTGTAGTTAAAAAAAACATACTTCTTTTTTTGTTCAAATTTTAGCTTCGATACGAAGCTGAGAAGGTATTGGTTTTACTAAGATGTGTTTATTATTTTTTTTTTTTTTGTGTCTGTTACCACTTTTTCTCAGCTCTCACCGAACCAATTTCTTTCAATGATACGTCAAAAGATCACAAATTGTATCTAGTCGAAGACATTACCCTCAAAAATTGAAAAAAATGCCCTCGTTCCCCGTAAATGGGAGAAACCTCCAAAAAAATTACAAATTTAAAAATCGCTAATTTTCGAAATTTTTTCAATTTTTTTTACTTAAAACTGCTGTAACTTTTTCAAAAATGAACATATCAATATAATTCTATTTTATATAGATGTGTAATATCATTACCTTTCGTTTAGTATATTTTTTTCATAAATTTAACCCTAAACCTGCCCACAAGGGGGGATTTAAAATGACAACTTTTTCACAAAAAATTAATTTTTTTAACTTAAATTTTGAAAATGTTCCGGAAGGTCTGACACTTTTATATATATCTTAAATTAAAGCTAATGTAATATGCTTTATCATGAAAAAAAAAAATTTCGGACTTTATCTTATCTTCATGGTGAAAATGGCTACCGAATGCTATTTTTGTGTGAAAATTTTCGATTTTGTATTTTCCATTTTTAACTTTATTATGCTATAACTTTTTGAAAAATGTATGAATCATTACAATTTTTTTATGAGAAGTAGTATTTATATAGATCTTTCATTCGACATACTGTTTTTTTAAATCGGACCATTTCCCTAAATACAGGGGGGATTCAAAACATAAAAATGCATATAGAAAGTAGAACTTTTTCAACGTAACTTTTGAAAGTGTTCCGGAAGGTCTGACACTTTTATATATATCTTAAATTAAAGCTAATGTAATATACTTTATAATGGTAAAAAAAAATTTCGGACTTTATTTTATCTTCATGGTGAAAACAGACATTAAACTTAATAAAAAAAATACGATTTTTGTAAAAAAATTCTTTTTTATATTTTTAACTTTATAATGCTATAACTTCTTGAAAGATGTATGGATCAATATAATTCTTTTTTTTGTAGATGCATGATGTCTTTACCTATCATTTGGTATATTTTTTTTTTACATATCTGATTTTACCTGCCTACAGGGGGGGATTCAAAATGACAACTTTTTCACAANTTTTTACCTGCCCACAGGGGGGGATTTAAAATGACAACTTTTTCACAAAAAATTTACTTTTTCAACTTAAATTTTGAAAGTGTTCCGAAAATACTGACACTTTTATATATATCTTAAATTAAAGCTAATGTAATATACTTTATAATGGTAAAAAAAAATTTCGGACTTTATTTTATCTTCATGGTGAAAACAGACATTAAACTTAATAAAAAAAATACGATTTTTGTAAAAAAATTCTTTTTTATATTTTTAACTTTATAATGCTATAACTTCTCGAAAGATGTATGGATCAATATAATTCTTTTTTTTGTAGATGCATGATGTCTTTACCTATCATTTGGTATATTTTTTTTATAAATCTGACTTTTTACCTGCCTACAGGGGGGGATTCAAAATGACAACTTTTTCACAAAAAATTTACTTTTTCAACTTAAATTTTGAAAGTGTTCCGGAAAGTCTGACACTTTTATATATATATTAAATTAAAGCTAATGTAATGTACTTTATTATGTAAAAAAAAAATTTCGGACTTTATTTTATCTTCAAGGTGAAAATGGCTACCAAATGCTATTATTGTGTGAAAATTCTCAATTTTATTTTTTACATTTTTAACTTTATAATGCTATAACTTATTGAAAAGTGTATTGATCAATATAATTTTTTTATGGGAAATACTATTTTTTAATAATCCCTTTTTCATTCGACATACTTTATCTTAATCAGGATATTAATAAGGAACTAGCAGTTTATGAAGCTTTTGGAATAATCCACCAATTTTTTAAAATTAAACACTATCTAAAGATTTGCATCGAAGCGTTTTTTTTTTATAGTGATTTTAATCACTGTCAGATATCATTATACTTGATCCAACTATGCCGCGACCCCCCTGTGCTGGGTTTTTTTTTAGATTGATATATGATATGAATTTATATAATTACTATTAACAGTAAATTTATGAGGAAAACTAAACATTTCGTTAAAATCAATATATATATTTTTTTATTGTAATAAATTATTTAAATAGAAGTCCTAGTAATCATTTCTATGTAACTCTTGGTATTTAAATAGATGCTACAATGAAATATTCAAAACTATATTCCGTATTATCATATCCTATAGTATTCTATAATATACTGATATTCAGAAATATTCCGACGTTTAGTTTCACTTATGATTTCGTTCACTGTAGTGTTAATGAATTTCATTTTAACCTATATTATAAATATTTGTTTTAAATGTTAATACTTGTTTTGAACTAATTATTAATAATATCACAAATTAGTGGTGATACAAAAATCTAATTGCTGATTTGAAATTAGCATGAAAAATATAATAATTAAAGTATATTTTTGACTCTGATAAAAATAATTTGTAGACCATTTATTCATATTTAACCACACATTATCATCTGAAAATTTTTGTATCAAGCTCTTCAACATTTTTACATATTTGCCATAAAAGTAACAACTTCTTTATAATTTTTCTTTAAAAATTACAATACTAAATTATTAAATAATAATTTCATACTATATTTAATTGCTTAAATAGATATTTAATAATATATTATACTTCTAAATCAAAAAACCACTAATCAGATAATATAAAGAAAATTAGATTTAATTTTGCTTTTGGTATAATCCTCCAATTTCTCAAAATTCAACACTATCTACAGATTTTTATCGAAGCGTTTTTTATGATAGTGATTTTAATCACAGTCAGATATTATCCATACTTGTCCAACTATGCCATGTCAACACTGTGACGCGACTCTACTGTGCTATCCTTTTTATTATTATATAGTTTGTAGTAACAAACTATTGAATTATATTTTATAAAATAAAATAATTATTATATTGACCTATCATCTAATTTATGAAATAATAGAATATAAGTGACATAGTAACAAATATGCTTTCCGGAGATAGATTTTGTAGTATCCCTTTAAAATGTTTATACTTTAAGATAAAAATAATATGAAAATTCACATAACATTTATAAAAACGTAATTGAAAGTTATTAGTCAAAGAAAATTTTTTCAGGGTTCTTCATATTAAATCTTTATTATCTACAAAAATAAATGAAAGTACAAATTGACTAGTTCTTTAATAATCATTACCATATTATACATTTATCAAGGGGATTCATAGGGGACCCAACTGGACATTGAAAAACTTTAGCGAATTCAATTGAGTTCGATAAAGTACCTAAAACTCTTATTCGTCCTGGACTGTGTACATCTGACAACAAATCATTCAATAACGATTGCTCTGTAGTAGATTCACACCATATCTGTAAAATGTTTTTAAAAAATGATCATGAACTTTGTAATTATTAAACATAACTTACACTAGCAAACCCAACAAAAAATAATTGTTCTGGTGTTAAATCTTCTAAACCAGGTAATCGATTTTCTGTTCCGTGTTTTGAAATGTATTTCTGATAAGCTAAATAGGCATGACTTAAACCACCTATATCAGCAATGTTTTCATTTTGCGTAAGTAGCCCATTTACCTAGAATAATAATAATTTTATTTAACACGATCAAGTCATTTATTGTACTAGAATAATTAAATAGAATAAAGTAAAATGATTGATATACTTAATTAACAACATTATATTATTATTATTAATAACAATAAATAATTAAAGCTTGATAAAATTATATTAAATCAGAATAATAAACTTAGAAAAAAAAGGATCAGATGTTTAGATATACATAGTATCAAATAAAATTTCTCTAGATCTTTGTTAATTAAACAGATTCGAGACATTAAAAGATGGAGAATGTTATTGAATGCAATATGAGGACAGCTGAACTGTGCATAGATCATGTGGGTATTGTGTCAAGTGAAAGTTTAGGATAAGAATGGCCGCCCTAAGTATTTGGAATAAAGGTGAAGAAATAGAAGAATTAAATTCTAAGATATCGTAAGATGGATACCTAGTAAAAGAATTAAAAAATTAATACTAATCCTATGCTTTTTAAACTTAAAAATTGATTTTGCATTTTATTATATAATTATGACTTAACTTTTATATTATTTTAGGTTCGTAATGTGACATAAAAATAATAATTGTTCCCATAAACAAATGTTATGAATTACCAATGGTTATTTTATAGTACAACAAATTATATAAATATGTGATACAGGTATATGCAATTTTAAAAGACCTTACGTTAATTTGATTTCCTAACACTTTTAAGTAGTAATTGTTGTATTGTTGTACAAAACATTCAGCTTTTTTTGAAAAAGTTTCCAAGGTTTCTTTTGTCCACCATTGTATTCTGTTTCCTTTTTTATCGTACATCCTACCTAAAAATGTCTCATTATTATTTGGTTATCACAACGCAAATAATTTAGTCGACAAACCTGAATCATCAAATGCATGCATTATTTCATGTCCTACCACCAAACCTACCATACCGTAGTTTAATGCTCTGTAATAATATTTTACACGAAATTAAGTTTGAGCTGTAACTTGATCATAATTGAACGAATCATGTATTTATGTATTATTCTCAATTCAAACATAGGTCTCAAAATGATTCGACAAATATTCTTATTATTTAAAGATTTCTAAAATGTCTTAAATACTAATTTTAGATCATGGATTATTATATTTTATGGTTAGTGGTAGAGAACTGCCTGGTACCTGGTCTTCCTTTTTAAGACTCTGATTTTACTAAGTACTCAGTTAGTACATGTATTTACTACTCAGAACTACTCTAGTTAATGGTTCTTAAAAAAAGAACAATACTTAAAATTTGAATTCATGTAATTAAAAAACTTACTGAATTCGTACATTGTGGTAAAATGGAAGATGCAACATTCCTACTGGTAACACTATACATAAACAAAAATCTTAAGTCATTTCAATTAAAATTTTTTAGTAAAATAAATATTAACCTATGGCATTTGAGTAAATATCATTGTACCCATTGACACTAACAATGTCCATTGTCCACCTATTTTTTTAAATTATTATTATTTTTTAACATTTATTTAAAATTCATTCACCAATGAAATATTTACTAACTCATCGCGATTATGCACTGTATGTAACCTGGATAATTTTCTTGTGATGGAAGAAGCTTGCAACATTTCTAAATTCATCAAGTAGCTATCCGTTACGTTTACCTGAAATTCATGTAAATATTATGATTTTAAAATGTTTTTTCATAAATAAATTTATTCATACAGTTTTAAGTTTGGTGTACAAAAGAGAGCTGTTTTTAAACCAATCGGGATAAGCGACAAATTTATGTATTGATTGCAATTTATCAATGGCAGCTTTTCGAGTAATTGAATCCATCCAGGGTACGTTTTCCAATTGTTCTAGGTAAACTTGCTGTATATTGTTAACCATTTCTAAAGCCTGAATTCACAGTTTTATGTTGAATTTTTTGTAAATACCTAATATATATATATATATATATATATATATATACAGAGTGTTAAGTAAGTAAAGAAACATGTTAGTTGTTATGTACAATGATAAAAATAGAAACCCGTTTCTTTACATACTGAATACCCTATATATATTTCTGGAGTAGCTTTATAATAATATTCTTTCTGCTATAAATGTACCCCAGAAATCAATGTCACGTCTATTTACTGTTCACTGTTATGAGATGTAAACTAACCGTGTTCTTCGCGGGTTCGTCAAAATATTTATTAATATATGTGTATCCAATGTTGAATGTAAAATGAGAATTTGTTGCCATTACGCAATTCTCCCACCTAGAAAGTTCATAAAGTTAGACTAAACTAAAGTATTATACCCTTGAAGTATTTTATTTTTAAATTATTACGTGTCACATTCATAATAAGTTACCTAGAATCTTCTTTTACTTCTCCTGTAAATACTATATTGAAGTCATTGACAAGATTTCTCAAATCCTCTCTTATATCTGTTAATAACGATCTCAGTAAGCACCATGACATATAATTAACTATAAAAATACATTGGCAAATTTTTTATTATATACTTTTTTTTAAGTTGTATTTTATTTTTTCACAATTTTAATTAATAATATATATTTCAATAAAATACATTTAATTAATAATGTAATGCTCACTTATAATACGTTTTGAAGTTTGTTCAAGAACACGAATTAATTCTTTTAAAAAATTTTCATCTCTTACTATTATTCTTTCAGTATCTTTAATGATTCTATCAGTACCTTTAAACATAAGTTGAAACATTTTCAACCAATCAACCTAAAAAATTATATGTATATAATTGAGAAAAACAATTAAATATATATTTCATCTCACACGAAATTTATTTGAAACAAAGTCTGTGATAGTTTGTAGTTCTGCAATTGTCATTATACGGTTCTTTAAAACTTTTTCACTTTTTTTTATGAATCTATTATTTTGCAACTAAAAAGGTCGGAGTTTTTATTACACGAATGAAAATAATCGTTATTACACTAATCATTTACTTTTGCGATTTTTGTCTCTAACTCTATTATTTCATGTGCTGTTTCATCGCCAAAATTATTACTGTGTGTTGATCCAAGTCCCAAATCTTCTTTAACCAATAGAACAGTTCCAGAGATTAACTCTGAGTAAGCAGATATTTGAACAGAATATTTAGACGGATTTAAAAACATAGAAACTGGCAACATCATATCAGGCTGATCTATCTAAAATTTAAACAAGTCTTCAATGATTTATATTAAAAAATAATGGCGTGGCTCTAATATTTATGTATTTAATCACCTTAATGACATTTAAACTAAGAAATAAATGTTACCAAACAAATGTAGTTCAACAATAACTTATCAACTCTTATAAAATAAGATATTTAGTTTTGTATTCTTCAATAAAAGTTTTTCAAATAATAATTGGGTTTCATTCATTTTTTATAAGTAATAAACATACCATTAATATGTATTGACTGGTATTCATATAGTTAACAGTTATGCCAGTTTCTAAAATAGTAGGAATTTTCCAGTTTTTTTCTAAATAAATATAAATTTTCGTCCAGTCTAAAAATTCTAATTTATTGTTTTTTTCGTGTTTTCCGATCGGCCAACCACCAAATAACAATATCACTGATTTCAAATATTCTATATTCATTTTATTTTTTACTACAACACATTAATAATTACTTAATCAACAGCTTACTACTACTTTCAACTTCAAAATAATTACCTGAGTTCATACAACTCTTGTAAAATTTTTTTGCAGGTAACATTATTTCATCATTGTTTTCAGCTTCAAGTAAATCTAATATATTTATAATATAAAATAACTTTCTTTAGTTCTCTATTTGATTTATAATATTTCATTAGAATTATAAATATTATATATTTATTTTGATATGAAATTTGATGCAAAGCCAATAACTAAATACTTTAATCTCATTTTTCTAAAACCCGAGATTTTACCAATAGTATCTTAAAATATAACAATGATTTGTGATTTCAATTTTTATTTATTATTTTAGTCATTATTTTAACAGTTTCATTAAAAAAACTAGCTAACGTTTATTTTTGATAATTTATTTAACCAATCGGTTATCAAAACCGCATTGTTTAAGCCTGCCAACATATTTAAAAATAATAATAATAATAAGTAGTCGATAAATGTTGTAATAATATATTTTTAATAGAATTCCATTTCTATGTTTACAGTATGAATTGTATGATAACTTTTGTTTTTGTTGGTAATACAAATATAAAGTTGTACTAGGGTTTTATTCTTTTACCTTTTAAGTTTTTAGTGATATCTCGTTCTGCTTCTTTGTATTGATACCATGACGATTTGGTAGAGGTTACTTGGTGTTCTTTCCCCCAAGAACCACACGAGTATTCATAAAAATCTACACATGGATCTATAGATCGATTCATGCTATTCAGTAGATATTCTATAACACATATATTTTAAATTAAATTAAATATTAAATATAAACTAGTAAATTTTACTAGTTAATTTTTAAATAAAAAATATAATACTTGATGTTTGACATTCCATTGTAGTACATTCTTCATCTAACGAATTATCGTCTATAGAAAATACATCTTTCATAAAATCATTAACAGATCTTCCGCCAATGAGTTTTATCAATGACAGTAAAACAGAAAATAATATTTCCTTTTTCATTTCTTTCCAATATAATTTTCATTAAATAAAACAATTATTCTCTATAATACTTGTTGTATCATCGAGTAATGTAGTAAGAGTGGAATTACTTTTATTAATTCGCGTGGGTAACAGGAAATTGATTTTGATACTATTTAGCAGGACAATACTGTATATTTGTAAAAAAATTATTATGATGTCATTTAAAGGTTAATGTACTCAAAACAGTTGAATTAATTTATTATTTATCAGATAGTATTTTGTTATTAAAAGATTAGGTTTCAATTAGATCATAAAGTAATATGATTATAATATAAATAATTTACTGACAACATTGTTTAATAATGCATAATTTTATTAAATACGTTTAAAGACTCAATTTAAAAGTTATCATATAAGTATACAATAGTTAAATATTATAACCTCCAAAATAATAAAAATAATTTTAATTCTGATGCTGGACAAATAATTTTTTGCAATTTATTAGTTAATGATATGACTAAAGTTACAAATACAGAATGAGAAAAATATATTTTTATAAATTCAATAATTTATTCAGAATAATTGTTTATTGAATAAAAGCTTATTTTAATAGTATTTAGTATCTAATATAAATTATTTAAGGAAACTTTATTTTAAAATTTTGTTCTTGATTTATTTAACAGAACATCTGTTAAGTTTTTGTTTTTTTATATGTAACTAAAACTAAAAGAAATACAATTAATTATTGTAAAATGTATTATGACTAACGATTTGGACATTTTTACTCTAATAACTAGTAAAAAAAAATAGACTTTAATTTAGATAATTTAGCTACTCAAAAGTCATTCAAATAGCCAATGAATACTTGACACTAGAAAAATCTAAATGTAGATATGTTTTCTAATGTTTCACTTATTTTTCTATACTATTAAGTAAAAAGAAAAAAATAAAAAGTTGTAAATATTGAACATATATTATAGTCCATAATATAACAAAATACATGAAGATTGTATTAAAATTCTTTGATTGCCCATCTAGCCTAGTGCCATTTGTACGCACGCTCGGTTAATGCAACAAGTTGTTGCGCATCATTTACGTGTTAGTCGAGCAATGTGTACCGGATAGTGATTTAAAATTACCATAATAGTCTTTCTCCAGAATATTTTTGAGAATTTTCTCAAAAGCCAAGAATATTATTTTTAATATGTTTTTATTATTTATTCCATTGTTATAAAATGATTCTGAATTAGCCAACAAGTATAAAATTGATCACTTCAAAATTATCTATTTAAATTTAGATAATGTTTAGTAAACAACAACTGGATGCACCTCTGTATTAATAGGTATATATAGTTGGAAATCTTTTAGTTTTCCTGTACCATTAATATTGGTCTATTTTTTAGGTTTATTGAATCACATTTAAATTAATTTTCAATACACCCAATTTAATAGCAATTTCTCTTCCCAATATTTGAGGTCCCTTGCTATCAACAACATAAAACTCATCAATTAATTTTTTCTTCCCAAAAACAATTTATGCTTTAAATTTCCCTAATACCTTTAAGGGATTTTCGCTAGAATAACCATAAAGCTCCTGAGATACTACTTTTTCTTTTTCCAAGACCATAAATTTAATATGTGCGCAAGGACATTTGCGCACATATTTTGTACATGTCTATCTGTGTAGCCGGCCCTTGTCGCGCATCACGAACTAATGTCATCCTTCACGTCTTCAGCATTTCAACGCACACATACAGTCCATATCTCGCTGCCATTATTCACCATTCTATTCTACGTACTACAGCTAAGTTTTAATTATTTGTCTAATTTATTTTATATATTTTCTATTTTGTTTTATGTCACTTCACTGTCTACTAGTAATAAGGACATCCCCATATGCCCCTTAATTCTAAAGTTATTTATTAAAGAGTTTTTATTATATTTGTTTTATATTTATTGTCTACTCATCATTTATTATATATGCGATTAGCTGACATCCACCCCTCTCATCTGATCCTATAGTGATCGTAAACAGACTTAAGGAAAGACGGCAATCTAGTGAGGTGCACAACTAGCCGTACTACTGTTTAGCTGCCTCGAACGAAACCGATAATTTAATAACAGGAATTTAGAGGTATAGTCTAACTCGAACAAAAGTAAAACGCTTTAGAAATATATTTAAAAGTAACTAAATTTACACTTCACTTACAAACTGAGCTTATTATATGATACTTATATAGAATTGAAATATATATTATTATTGAAATATTTACGAAGCCATAGAAATACAAATAAATTGAGAAGCCTTAGAAATTCAAATAATTTGAGAAGCCTTAGAAATGCAAATAAGTTGAGAAACCATAGAAATGTAAAAAAAATGAGAAGCCATAGAAATGCAAATAATTTGAGAAGCCTTAGTAATGTAAAAAAAATGAGAAGCCATAGAAATGCAAATAATTTGAGAAGCCTTAGTAATGCAAATAAATTGAGAAGCCACAGAAATGCAAATAAGTTCAGAAACCATAGAAATGCAAAAAAAAATGAGAAGCCATAGAAAAGCTAAAAAAGAGAAGCCATAAAAATGCAAATAAGTTCAGAAACCATAGAAATGCAAATAAGTTGAGAAACTATAGAAATGTAAAAAAAAGTGAGAAGCCTTAGAAATGAAAATAATTTGAGAAGCCTTAGAAATGCAAATAAATTGAGAAACCATAGAAATGCAAAGAAGTTCAGAAACCAAAAAAATAAAAAAAGAAGCCATAGAAATGTAAAAAAATTGAGAAGCTATAAAATTCAAATATAATAAGAAGCTACATTAATGATGATGATGTAGAACAAAAAAAAAAAAGAGAAAATTAAGCAAATAATTTGCATAGAGTTGTTTATTATTTGAAGAAAATATAGTGAGTTCACTAATAGTGTTAACATTATTGAACTGATTATATATAGAGTAATACAATTATCATAAACCACTTAATTTATTAAAAATTAAAATTAATATTGAAAATTCTTTATTTGGTTTCTTTAGGATACATTTTTTCTTAATTTATCAATCATTAAGTATTTGTTGTGTTCATCCTTAATACCTTTTAAGAGAGTTAACTTTATTTTAGCTTCAATCCGAAGCTATAAATGTATTAATTTTACTAAGATTTTTTTTGTGTCTTTTGCCACTTTTTCTCAGCTCTACTGGACTGATTACTTTCAATGATACGTCAAAAATTCATATATCGTATCTAGTTGAAGATATTGCCTTTTTAATAATAACACTAGTTTACAACAAAATTGACCTATGACTTATGATAGTCATTTTTTATGTAAAATCGTCCAATGATTCCGAAAATGAAGTCCAAAATACAAAAAGTAGAACAGTTTTTGAGTTATTGCGAAATTAGCGTTTTTCATGTGCCACGAAAAATTTTTTCATTAAATTCTAAATATCTTTAATTGTATTCAACCCATTTTCATTTTTTTTACATAAAATTAAACAATATTAAATTGCCTATAACTTATTATATTTTATTAACCAGAGGATTGAAACTTCAATTTTTTTTTTTATTTGTAAAGTAATTATAATTAGCTCAAAAATTATAAAGAAAAAAAAAAGTAATAAGTATAACAGTAACAATACTATAACGGTACAACAAATGTAACAATAATTGTTAGTATACTCAAAAATAGAGAAAAATTAAACATTATTAAAATAATTATTAATGACATGAAAAAACAAGTAGTAGTAAAATTAAGTTTATTAAAAAAATTATAAAAAAGTTATCTTAAAGCAAATTGAATTTTTAATTGAATAGGTTCATGTTTCATAAATTTAACGTTAATAATAGTGAATAAGTGCATTTATTATCAAATCTCCTAACAAAGAATATCATATAATAATATGATATCAATGATAGAATCATGCAAATTAATAATTTTTATCACTTTTAACTTGGCTAATCATCTAAACTTGTTAACATACGTTAATGTTTCTAATTTTTGTAATAAAGATTAGAGATAATCATATCTGTAAAAAGCGCGTTAATTGTTATTATTATCCATGGAAAAAAAATCTGTACCAGTAAATAACATAAGACAGTGTTTACTTCTGTAATTTACATAATATGGACTAACATTAGATATCATAGGAAAATTGTATTAACAAATTTCAAAATGCTGTATTAATATAAGAGTTTTTGGTATCAAAATTTTTCTTTAAAACTTATGTATGAAATGAATATCTTCAAATGTAAAAAAAATAGATTTTAAATAATTTTTTTGATTGCAAAAAATAGCATAAAATATTTTATAAGTATAGTTTAATATTGTAAAAATTGATTAAAAAAATATATATATATATAATGGTATGTAGATCATAAGTTTTATGAGTTGTCAGTTAGACTCTGTTCCACCCTGTATATATAATTATATAAATAAAATAAAATAATTGCAGATTAAATGACAAAGCCGTAACTCTTCAGGAAAGATATGATAGAAATAATTACAATGGAATAACGAGAATTAAGAATATGAGCTACGGAAGGGGATTAATATTTTGGACGGCCAAGAGGCTAAAAAGTTTATTTCTGCTGTTAATTAGGGCAGGACAATCAATGAGAAGATGAGTAAAATCGCATAGAGCTTCACTACAATGTAGAGGATAGAAGTCAATGGAATTTAGGGAAATATGGAATGCATGAAATGCAAAATTTCTCTTGTTCCCTGTAAAAGTGGCAAATCTTCAAAAAAAATACGATTTTTAAAATCGGTATATTTTGACATTTTTTTCTTAAAACTGCCATACATTTTTAAAAAAATTAACTGTAAAAATATATTGAAATGAAACTTTACAATTCCCAGAGTAAATTATTTCACTACTTTATACTTTTAACGTTAAGTTAATTATCTTAACATAAATGACGGATCGGGGGGTTTTACTTGACAATCGTATAATATCAATTCCAAACAGTAACTTTATTATACATATATATATTTATAAACTAATAAATATTCAATATATCAATATATTAACATTAGAATAATAATAGTAGAAAAAAAAACAAACAAAACGAAACATCACCCAGCCATCAGCTATCCATAGTGCAATTAACGTTGAATCGACTGCCAAAACGC